TTCACACTGTTTTTTATCTGGTTCATAGTGTTTGGTTTTCAATTTGGTTCAGACTGGTTTGATCTGGTTAACACCCGTTTGGTCAGGTTCATACTGATTAGGCCTCTGTAGTCCATACTAATCTGGTTCAGACAGGTTTGATCTAATTCAGACTGGTTCGATCTGGCTCATTGATGGGCTTCAGAGTTTGCCGAGTTTTGCTCAGGTTCAACTTGGTTGAGTATTGCTCATATTGGACTTGTCTAACTTAAATTCTTCATCGAATTCAGTGACCTAATCGTTTTCTTTTTATTGCATGTTTGGATACTTAACTCTTAAATGGGCCAGTGAGACCCCCAACCTTCAACTTTCTGATCCTGTGCAAATACTTTGTGTGTGTGTGTGTGTGCGTTTTCAGGGTGGAGTGATGTATGATCATGACTTCGATTTTGAGAAGCCGGAGACTATGAAAGCCCTATGTAAAATCTGCAAGAACATCGCGGCAAGAACTGAGCTGGTCATTGAGGGCGGTGCTCAGTGTGTCCCGTCAGGTATGTCGAAATGTATGGTGGCCCCAAAGCGACATCAAATATGCAGATTGTTTTGTGATGCTCTCTTTCAAGACATCAGGAATTTTTCTCCAACACCGCATGTTTTTTTTACTGTGCCAATATTTCATGACATCACAATTTTGGGGGGCATGAGGGAATTTGCAGTTAATTCAATATATTTTATTTTATATCCTGATTTTTCTTATCGTGAGGAAGAGTCGGTTTAGAGCAAAAACGGGGTACAAAATCACTTATTTGTCCCCAGAAATTCCTAAGTTTATCACGTTTTCTCATTTGTTTTCTTGTAGAAAATTCCAGACAGGTTCAGTGGCGTGAAAAGGTTTTTTTTTTCCCTTTATTTGGAGCGGGAATAAGGGACGGTCAGAAATGAGACTAACTAACCACGGATGAGGTCAACTAACCACGGATTCACAAAGTGTACCTCAACAAATACGAAGTGTCTGTCTTTTCCTTCAGGATTTTCTTCAACCTTAATGGAGAAGCTAGCTCTGCTCTATGAAGACTGCAGGAACCTGCCAGCCTCCAGCACCGGGTCGCAGGCACTTTTCGCCGTGCACAACCAGAAGGTTGTCTGGTTTGCCATGGCCTTTAAATCGGTATGTTGTTGGGCAAGTTTCTTGCATTCGTATCTGTTTCTTGGGTTCACATCTTGGCACGGGAACACATAGCAAAATAATTTTTTTTCTTGATCCAATTGGCAGTTTTCATGGGTTAAATTCATTTTGAAACAGTGCTTTCGTATCTGTTGTCCAAGGTTCACATCCCACAATGTACACACAGTTAATTAGCGTCTTGCTTCAAATCAGTGAAATTTTAAAAACAGGTTGGTTGAAAACCCTCCGAAATATTAAATTCAGCAACTTCTTCGCCGACCTGTCCACAGACTATCTTCAAGGGCAAGTCCTCCTTTGCCGCGTACAGGGACTACAATGCTTGGGAGACGGCCATTCAGGAGGAGAAGGACGCCCTCACTGAAGACGAACAAGCCGGCCTGATGACGATGTTTCAGACCAGCGACTACTGGAAGCAGATATTTATGGAGATAGTCGGTAAGTTGAACGCCTCCGGTACCAATTTTCACCAAATTCGTCGCAGCTTAACTACTTGCAGATGGCACTGTTTTTTGGTGGGAGGAGCTTGGCTTTAAAAACAAAAGGCAATATGAGCTGGACCACTTTGAAATGCAGGCAATATCACAAGAAATTTCTTGCTAGTCATTTCAAAAGTTTATGAGCACTCTTAACCATATTCTCCTGAGTCACTATGTCCCAGAATGCTGCCGGGTTTGATTAGAATTTGCATGACAAGTCCCCGGAGGATTTTCAAAATGTTCCGTTTTCGAATTCTCCAACAAGTTCATAGCTTCAGTTGCTGAACAGTTTTACACCCGCACAAATGACTAGGCAACATCTATTGATGCCAGAGTATTTCAGCCAGGCCTGCCGCCTTGTAAAGAGAGTCCAGTGAGCTGCTGGCGTCTTTTCAAATGCGGCCAGATTAGCATGCAATTGTATCGTATCGCTCATCTCTGGAGCGCATTTGTCCCTGGTGATAATATGCTTTCCCGGAATGCCACAAATAGTGGTATATTGTTTCAAAACAATGACAGCTTAAATCCGCTATTTACAACCGAAAAATTTTGGGAATTCCCAGCAGCACGGTCTTTTGTTCTGAGTACGGTCTTTTGTTACAAGGCCAAGCTCCTTTGTCCGATTTCGGGCACCCCCAGCTATGCATATAAACCTAAGGTCTCCGGTACCATGAACCCTGGCACAAAGTGGTTAAGGGAAGGCTGAATTTAGGGCTGTTTAAATGTTTAGTGGAGGAAAGCAAATGAAATGCCCCGTTACTTGCACTTTTCTCATATTTCACAAAGGAAAAGAAATTGGTCCTTTTTAGGGGAGGGACGGTGGCCCCCATCTGCCTTGGATCTACCAAAGGCTGCTCCAGCATGGAAAGTTGTTCCACTGTTGCCATGATGAATATCATCCTTGGTCTGATTTTTCTCTTGTTTGTCATGCAGGAGTAACCAGTGCAATATACGGCGTTGCCTTCTCCCTGTTGGTGTGTGTGATAGCTGTGGTCATATTCACAGCTCATATAGGTGTTCTCCTCATAGCATTCCTCACAATAGGCGGTAAGTATAGAGGCTTTGCGTGGGAGCCATCTTGCAGGGCTGTTCTTATGTCCAACAGGGAAACCTCCTTGGTGCTTATCATGTGGATCGAAAGCACTGACCTGCAAGATGGCAACCATGCAAACCCTCTATTGGATAAAATGAAATTCAGATGGTATATCAATAATAATTTCTTTAAAATTTGAAAGTAGTTTCTCCTAGCTTAAAGGCCAGCGTGATGTAATTTTTCTCCATGCAATACCAACGGATGCTCCCTTGTGCCCAAAGCAACCTAATTTTCAGTTTTTGTTGAGCTGTTTAATTTAAGGGAACTTTGGTACCTTTTTGTAGAAGTAAATTCAAATTTGCATATTCATGAGTAAAAGTGTGATGTCATCCAAGGCAGCAACCGTATTGTTTCTATTCTGGTGTCATGATAGTATCGGCACTTCAGCAGAGTTTGTTGCCTGCCTCAGTCACGGACGT